TAATAGTTGAAAAATAGCTGAGGATGTAACTCAGTGTTTAGAATATATAGGTGACTTACGTTCAATTTGCACTGCTGCTAAAAGTGAATTAAACCGAGATTGCCAACAAACAGAAAGTGAGACGGAGGAGGCACACTTACAAAACAGTCAGCTTTCAATGGCACGTTCTCTAGAGCTTTGCTCTAGGTTGATGTGGTGCTGAGACAGTGATAGAGAAAAAAGGTAACTTAGAAAACAGTATGAAAAGGAATATTTGAAATCATGCAACTCCATTGTGAGAATGATGGATATTTGCCATATAAATGTTGCTGTCACGTGTGCACATTTCAAATTAGGAAAAAAAATTCAAAAGAGTCTGTGAGCTCTAAAAATTATTCACTAGAAACAACTTGGGAGGGACTAGAATGATTGCTCAGTGGTTAAGAGAACTGGCTGCTCTTCCAGAGGTCTACTATTGATCTCCAGCATCTATATGGAGGCTTACAAGCCTCTGTAACTCCAGTTCTGGGAGATCCAATGCCCTCTTCTGGCCTCTGCAGGCACTGCACACAAGTGGTTTACAAATACACGTGCAGACAAAAATCACAGATACAAATAAAAAAAAATAAATCAGTTTATTAAGTGGAAGGCTAAATTTATCAAATACTAATGATCTTTGACTAGCTGGAAAGTTGGTATAAAAATTATAAAATTAATATTTATCATCAGTCCTGCTTTGCAAATAGCATTCTGTACCTATGAGTCTTGTTTCTCACACAAGCCCTGGAAACTATGAAAATATCAATGTAAAATGTACTATCAAATTTACATATTGCAAAATAGTAAAAAGATAGCTTTCAAATTTTTTTTTTTTTGGAAAGTGTTAGCATTTAATTGGCCTCCCTGAGTGGCTTCAAGCCACCAGAACACAGGCACCTCCAACACCCTTTATCTTCTCTTCAGCTCTTCTGCTGAAAAATTTGGCTTTCACGATGACAGGCTGCTTAGGGAGCTTTCCCTTCCCCAGAACTTTGTAGTAGCCCGATCGCACGACATCAATGATGGGAGCAACTCCGATCTTGTTCTTGGCAGCGTTGACTCGGGTCTGCTCACTGACCAGCGTCCACAGTTTATCCAGGTTGACAGTCGGGCAGAAGCTCTGGTTCCTCTTTAAGTGGTAATGCCTCATCCCAACTTTCCCGAAGTAACCTGGATGATAATTTGTCGAAGTTTATCCTGTGATGATGCATGCCTCCAGCGTTCCCGCGTCCTCCTGGATGCTTGCGGTGTTTACCGATGCGGCCATGGCGTGGCTCACGTGGCCCCGGAGTTTCCGGGTCTTCCTCAGTCTGGATGGCATGGCGGTGGCAGAAAGGAAAGAGAGCTTTCAAATTTTTAAAGATCATTTGCTCTTTATTTCTATCACTAAAATGTTATCATTGCAAAAAGGTTTTGTAGTGTTGGCCAAGCAAATCTTTAAATGTCCTCATACAGTCTTCTCTCCTAAACCTGGATTTGTTAAGATGCAGATAAGCTACTACTGAAGTCGTGCACGCTCATGAGACATAGAAACATGTATGAGCATATTTATAACTTTTATCCTCAGGACTAATGTCCACAAAGGTAAAAAATACTAGAACTCTCAAGCTGCAGATCAGAAGTGCAGACTCTGTGGTCAGGACTTCATGGGAGTTTGCCTCTGTTCGTCTGAGCTCAAGACACAGTGGCGCACAATGCCACATGCCCAAGTCATCTTCATCAGAGGTCTTTCCCCAACCTCTTGTTTGATTCCCAGAAAAGGATAAGACACTGGACTTATCCCTAGAGTGTTTGGATTAGCTAAAAACAGAGCAGAAGCTATCTATAGTGGGAACTTTTTATTACAAATGTGAATTATTCTCTGGCTGTTAATCCTGTGCTTCCCTCTAGTTTGAGGTCAGGTTCCTTGGGAGGAGCTAAAGTGGATACTGCCTCTGCCCACAGGCCATTGACTTCAGAAAAGTCCCATGAGAATATGGGAAGAGGTGATGAGAAAGCAGGGTATATGAACAGAAGAACAGAGTCTGGTGACATTGGGCAGCCTTGCAGAAACAGCCTGATAGTTAAGGAGTTTGGCTGCATCCTCAGGCCTCAGGCAATGCCCATCAGAGGAGTGCCTTCCTACTTCTGTACCCTCAGGCAGGGCTACTGGCCACTCCTGCTGATGTGGGCTCTGAGCCTCTGGGATTCAGAAGGCTGATGGCAAACCTTGCAGGGAGCTGCAGGTAAGCTGTCAGAGCAAAGCAGAACAGAGGCACACAGGCTAGAGATGTGCCAGGAGACACAGTGGAACTTGGCACATTTAATCACTTGCTATATAAATTGAGACTCTGCTGTATCACTGCTGCGGCCAGAGCATTCCTGGTGCAGACCTGATACGGCTTTTCCATGTCATTCCCACAAAGCCCACAAGTTACAGTGAGTGGTTTGATGACCAACCACCGTCAGGCCACCTCATGCCTTGCCACAAATCTTGGTTAATACCTGCACACGAGTAGATTCTCTAGATGATGCAAATGTATTTTTAACATCAAAACTGTAAGTAACACCAGGTGTGGTTACACTTGTAATCCCAGTATTCATGGAGTACAGGCAGGAAGATCAACAGTTCAAACCAGTGGGCTACAAAAACAGAGATCATGCCCCTTTAAAGACAAGAGCTGGGATTTGAGCTTAGAAGGAAAGAACCACTTGTCTAACTTGTACAATGCTCTAAAATTCATCCTTAGCATTGAAAAAGATATTTACTGTATTAAATTAAAAAAAATCTAAAACACATAATATCCTTTTGGTTCAAAGATTTGTTAGCAAAAATCAATATTGGTAGCATTCTGAGACTTCCATGCAAATATCAAGTGATACTCAGTGTTATCTTTGTGATACGCTGAGAACCTATTAAGATGCTAGAAGATACTTGATATTTACAATCCTTCTACTTTTCATATTCATTCCTGCAGTATTTTATGCCATTTCCTGACATCTCTGTAGCCTGCATCCTCACTGGTGTCCCCTTTATCTGTAATTTGCAGTCCTATAATGTCTACGTGTATATTCCACACAATATAGGATAAAAGATTATATTAGTTCTGTGCTTGAAGTTGAGGCTAATACTCTTTTACTATTTAAAAGCATTCTTTTCAAAATATCACTGCCCATAAATGTAGGAAATGCTTTGAGTGTAATGAAGTCAGGTAGATAGAAGGAGCTTGCCTGGTGTACAGCATGTGCTTCCTGGTCCAAAGTGAATTGTTGGTCCAAACCTGGATGTGGGGAAAGGTTAGATATAGCATGGGAGAAGACTGTGAGTTGAATGCTAGGTAGGTAGCATCCTGACAGAAGCCGAGAGATCATTTGTGGCACAGTCAGGAGAAGTTAGTTTAGGCAGGAATACTTGGTGTGCGACCCAGGTTAAATATGGTTGATTGGGATAAAGTGTGGAAGGGGAGGTCAAGGAGATTCTAAAATCTAGAACCTGGAGAAGGAAGTGGGAAATATGGATGAGTAAAGAGGGTGAATGCAGCACAGGAGGGGCCTGGAAGGGGTGTTAGGTCATGAATGATTTCTGATGTGTTTTTTGAATTTATATTGCAGGGTTTTTTTATGAGAATTTTCGCTTCAGTGTTCATCAGAAAGATTAGCCTACACTCTTCTTTTGTTGGTTAATCTTTGACTAGTTTTATTTTGTACAATACTGGTTTCATAAGGCAAACTGGTCAAATCCACCCCTTTATAGTATATGAAATAATTTGAGGAAAGTCATGTTAGTTCTTCTTTAACGTTCTGGTAGAATTTAGCAGTAAAATCCATCGATGCCTGGGTTTGTCTGCTTGTTTGTTTGGGAGGTTTTTTAAATTGCCTTTTCCATTTCACTGCTTGTTACAAATGTGTTTAGGTTCTTTAAATTCTCTGTATTTAATATTGATAGTTCTTATGTATATATGCATTTATCTTTCTCTTTGGATTTTTCCAACTCATTGAGCCATATGTATTAAAGGAATGCCCTAATGATCTTCTAAATTTTGTTGGGAGCTGTTGTAATGTCTCATTTGTGTGTGTGTGTGTGTGTGTGTGTGTGTGTTTGTACCTGCCTTCCTCACTTTGTACATTCTCTCTTTTTTTTTGGTTATTTGGCTAAGGATTTGCAAATTTTGTTTATCTTTTTGAAGAACTAACCTGATTTATACATTTCATTACTTTCTGACTTCAATTTTTTTCTATCATCTTGTTTGAAGTTTGGGTTTCTTCCTTTTTTATAAACCAGGAAAGAATAAGGCCTGAGAGCATCCTGTCACACTCACAGGTCACAGCAGCACGTAATATAAAGATGGGGGCAGGGTTTTGATTTGGGATTATGTCACTCCACTTTACAAGCTGATATGTGTTTTATTTATCAGGTACATACACACAGGAACACAGGCACACACAACACACACACACACATACACTTCCCAATTCTCCTTCATTTAAATTTCTAGGTCTATTATAGATAGCAATGGATGGGAATCGTTGTGTATAGAGTCTCTGGAGATTTTAGGTGTGACAATGATCTTTTTCATTGGGTCATTCACACATAAATGAGGGTGTCTAGTGTGGAACCACCATTTGCCTCACTGATTCCTTTTTGATTCCTTTACAAGATTGATTCCTAAGTTGCATGACAGCAGCTCATCATCCCTCTCTCAGCCCCATGTGCATCTCTCGGGAACCATAAACAGGTGGACAGTGGGATGCAAGCTCATCTCTACTGTATGCCCTCTAAGAACTGTGTGTCCCCTAAGGTCATGTTACTTGTGATATGCACGTGTGAGTGTGAAGCTCCATATCCTCAGTGCTCCATTCTCCTTGCACACATGCCTTGGGACAGCAACAACTCAGAAGGAGCTGGGGAAGACTTTTATTGAGAAAAGTGTGAGCAATGCTACACAGCGGTGCATTTCAAGAGCAGTAGAAGAAATCAACAAGGAATTAACCACTTAGGTGTGCAGGGTCTGTCTGCAGCATCCTGTTCTACTGATCTTTGCATTCTGAAGAGACATGACTCAGGGCTCAGATCCCTGTGTGAGGGACGGGGAACTGAAGGAGAAGCTAGAGTAGGGGAAATCAGCACAGTGCAGGGCAGTGTAGATCCTCAGGCACTGTGACAGCTGAAGTTTGTCATGGAGGTCTCATTCTCCCAGGGCACAGTGTTGATCTCGAAATTGCAGATTGCTCTCTACAAAAGGGGAAAGTGAGGAACAATCAGTTTAGGTTACAGTGAAACGGAAAAGTTGAGATGTCAGGATAGAATGGGAATCCTCTCAAGTCCCAGTTTACTCAGACTGACTCTACAGAGTCCATTCATTCTTTATCTCATTGCCTCCAGTCCTTCAAATACACATGTCCCTCACTCCTGTGGCTCATGGGATTCTGCATCCTCCTTCCTTAAGGAAGAACTTGAAGATGAGGCACAGAATCCTCAGAGTTAGTCCAGAGACAAAGACACATTGTCTCTAATTTTATACACCTCCAGAACCTGGACTAGCACTAAAAGGGTCATAAATAGAAAAATGAGGGGTATGAAAAACACTTCTGAAAATGAAAGAGTGAAGGGAGGGGTGACAAGAGGCATGCAGCTATCTCCAGAACCATAAAACTTCAAAAACTAGCTTCATCCCTAGGGAGACTAGGAGAAACAGGGACAGCATTGGAGCATTTCACCTAGAGGACTGTAGTCCCTGTGGTATCATCTGGGCAGGGGGCTCAGGCTGGAACTGAGTAAAGTTCCTCCCCTTCAGAAACTATCCCTGAAGCCGACTCCATCATTTCGGCAGACAGCATTCCTAAAAGAGGTAACACTCCAGTTCCCAGGGAAAATTCACTGAGCAATGGAATTAACAGTATGGAAAATAAACCCACTCCTCTACCACTGGATGTCAGCACCTATTTTTGTCATCATAAACTAACATCATATCATCCAAACACACCTATTCATGAACCATCATACCCCATAACAAATGCATGCTTACAGAAAATACACATACACACCTTTCTTTCGCCATATACTTACAGAACTGCACAAAACCCATCCCAGATGCATGTGCACACACCCCTGCCTTCAGGATAACTCCTGTAGGTTTTCGTCCATGTGCATACCTCCTGCTGATCTGGCTGTTCATTGAAGGGGCAAACATCCAAATCAACAGACTGGCCTTTGGGACATGTGGTTCGTCCTAACTTTATTTTCAAGTAGTAGTTCATCCCTCTCACGACCTACAGTGAAAAGAGCAGGATTACATACGTTTCATTAGTCAAGTTCATAAGCATGCATTCAGCTTAGATTACAGAGTTAATGTGTTCATAGCTTCATCCATGAACTCCCAGAACTATAACATAATAGGTTCCTTTCAATAGAGGAGCACAGGCCTGAATTGCACCTTGTTTCCTTCTGATCAAGTGTTAGAGGGTACATTGTGCTTCTGAGAAAGCAGTATCAGAAAATGGAAAGCAGAGGCCAAAGAATGAGCATTGCTTCAGTGGGCTCAAGGAGTGAAGACAAATTCTAGGGAGACAGCCAGGGGTGATAGCCACATCCCAAGGTTGCTCTAAGAACAAACAAAAGGTCTGGTTTGCACACAAGACCAACTCAACCCTGCT